CACCCAGAAAAGGCAACACCATTGCCTTTGCTTGTTCCAGATGCCCATGTTCCAGCAGAGCCTAAAGCTACGGAGCAGTAGCATAACTGCAGTCATTCAACAGCAGAAAGTGACACCAAGGACATTTGACTGAGTCTTGAGCTCAGGAGTAATGGTCATTTCATTTCTGTCCAGTGTGAAAGGTTACCTTACTAGAAGCACCAGCTGTCTTGCTGGCCCTTCCTTGTGCTGTAGAAAGTAGGCTATTTGCTAGCACGTAAAGTAAAACCTTACCAGCCTTCTTCAAACAGAAGCACAAATTGGAGAAGAGAAAAAAAACAAAATGGAACAAGGCAACAGATGGTGTTAACTCAGGAAAGAGGAACAGAATGGTTACAGACCCTTGCCTGCTTTCATGTAAGTTATGTTACTGCCCTTAAGACTTAGTTCCTCTCTACCACGTACTTGACGAATCATGGGGTCAAGTAATAAACAAGTTTCTGTTAAAATGACAGATTTGTTCCTTTGGTCCACAAATATTGGATTTGTTTCTGATAATCTACTCACAACAGTGAGGCAAATCTAAATAAGTAATAAACCAGAAAACATCTTCAGCTGTTTCACTCCAATTAGCAGTTTCCAGACCTCTTACTGAGCAAGTTGGATCCAGTTCCATCAAATGAAAAAGCTTATTACTCTGATCCAGATACTGATCCATGCACCACTGCAGCAATTGCAGCAGATTTAGGGGTTGCTGTTCCAGAGGGAGTGACGCTGTACCGCACTGGTTTGGTGGGGAGAAACCTTACTGCTTATGGTGACGAACAAGACACATGAGCAAGGGTGTGGAGAAAGGGATAGTCAAGGGAGGTGGTTTCAAAAAAGCAAAATCGGGCTTGCCCGCATATTTGCTGATAAGCATAGCACACTTGACAAGGATATACTAAAAAGGCAAAGGTATGTGATTTAACACTGGGCTTATGCTGTTCTCAGTGGTCAGTCCCATCATAATGTGTAGTTCCAGAAAAATCTTTGCATGGAAGAGAAGGTCTATCTGTACCCATCCACTGGAACTGTTAAGAGTTAACCATAAGGGTTAATTGTGGTTGGAAGATACGAAAAAGCAGTAGCATTTTACAGCATTTCTAGTCTCACCAAGCAGTATCTGCTCCCCATTTTCAGCACTCCCATAGCCTCCCCATTTTCTCTCTGAATGATCAGAGATTAACAAGTGTCTTTTCCACTCCCCACTTTGACTGATCTAACTAGGAACACTGAACAAACAGATCTAAGAAAGAGCGTGGCAGCAGCAAGCAACCTTGGTTCACTGCATGCAGGGCATGGAAAATGCTCTGCTCTCCCAGGGACAATATGAAAGCTACAACCAGTGACTCAGCATTAGCCCAGTAACACCTCTCCAGGGAATCTGAGACAACCCCTCCAAGCATTCCTGCCTATTTTCTGCGCACAAAGGGATCAGACAACAAAAAATACTCCTTGTAACAATTCCCTGTCTCTAACAAATATACTGCTCCCATCAACTAATGACTGAACAGTGCTGTCAAGCTTTGCCCTGTGATGCACATCTATGGACACATCCAGGGTGAAGCCAATACTGAAAATTGTGTTTTTTTGTCTACCAGCTGTGCTCTGTGCCATGCAGACACAGCATTCATTAAGCACTGGGTAATAGCTTGACTCCCTTAGGGACTTGCTGCTGGAAAATAGAACATCTCCTTTCATAAGTAGGCAAGGTCACGATGCACCACGCATTCCTCAGTGCACATGTTCATTTTGGAGTCGATGGTGAGATAATTGAGTATCTGTTCATTATACATTTCATATTAACACAATAAGGTATCTTCATGTAAGACTAATTTTATAAGATCTGAGGAAAACCAGCATTATATTACATTTCAATGCCATCTGTTCAACTACTCCAAAAGCAGTGGAAGAATTCTGATTTATGTCCAAATTATTTTTTGTATTTTACTCTTCATGTTGGATGCAGAATTTGAAAAATTCCATGTACTAAACATCTGAAAAGCACAACTTAAGGTATTTTTCCCTTTACACCACATCACCCTTTTGTAACTTACAGGTGCTTTTTTATTTAACAGGAGTCATCTTCCAGCACATTCACATGTACACGCTGTGAACAAGGCTGCTCATAAATGCAATACCTCAACGTTTAAAGCCCTGTAGATATAAACCCCCGTATACAGAGATGTATGAAGAGAGATCAAAAATGACAGGCAATTTCTTTCAACATGTTAAGTACTACCAAAAATCAGGAGTCCTGAGAACAGCTTACCTAAAGAACCTAAGCATTATGCAGTGCAACTTAGTCTGGTCAATCTACTGCTTTCATTTTTTTTTAATCCCAAATACTATTTTTATCTGTTTGTTTAGGAATTTGGAAGCTGGCAACCTGTTTTTCTTTACTGCTCTGGTTCTTGGAATACTCTTTTTCTGGGTGTGAAAATGAGAAATTCCAGAGTGTAATACTGGGTCAAAGCATAATGGAAAAGAAGAAAGAGTTACTTTCAAGATGCATGTGTAATCAGTCAGTAGAGATTACATATGATAGAATACAAAAGTAAAAATACAGTATGTTCTCCTAAAACCGGATACAAATACTGTATTGCATTAAATCCAACAGCTCATGGGGGAAAAGAATAATTATGCAGGAGAGGTGAGAAATTATATAGGTACACATGAAGAAAAGAAGGGATTTTATTCTGAGTATTCCTGTGCTTACTCAAATATATATATTCTTAATCAGAGATCAGGAATATCAGAAGCAAATATTTCCTTAAGGCTTGAAATAACCTTTTGCTGCATTTTATTTGTTATATAGCTCAGGGATTTCTCAAACTGAAGCACGCAAACCCAACTGTAAATCAAAGCGTAGTCTCTGGATTGTGAATGACTGATTGTGTGGTTTAAAGACATACAGCGAACTTAATTGGAAACAATCCGCAAAAACATTAAGCGTAATGCTCCTTTTCCTTTTCACCTGCCATGAAATTACAGCTACTGGAATTAACAGTTTCACATCTAGCAAAAATACAAAGGCTGTCAACATTTTCACATGGAAATAACCCTTGAAGAGTTGGGGTTTTGCCTTATGGAAGTATTTTCTGCTTCATTTTAAAAAGATCAGTCAAAAAAACACCTTCTTCCTTGAGGTGACTGGAATGAGTTGTGAGCATTTTCTCTTTCCAAGGCTGCAGCAACCTAACTTAAAAGAGACTGGCCACTTTCTTATGTTCACCCGAAACACATTGAAGCAGGCTGTCAAAGGTTCAAGGAGAGGTTTCAAGTCATATTTGCTGTTGGCATGTTTAAAACTGCTGACACATGCTAGGGAAAAAAGGGTGCGCCAGTAGAGCTGCAACAACAAAACAGCTACTAGGGAACCTCACCTAGAGCTAACAGCAGCACTAAGCTGGGCTGGCCAACTTAAGAGATAAGCCAGCAATATGCAAACAAAGCTTATTGAAGTCCTAAAATGTAGTTAGGTTTGTAATTTTCTTAGTGGTTAAAAAAAGGGGGGGGGGGGGGGGGGGCAAAAAAACATGCAAACACATCACATTTGGGATTTTGTTCTTTGATGATGAAAACCATTACCCGGAGTCTTCAGTGATGAAAGCTGCAAAAACAGCTGAAAAATGTTCACTGAAAGGAAAAGTAATGAAAAACAGTGCATTTGACAGACTTGCAAAAAGCAACCAATGTGATGGTTTCCTTTTATATCACTAACAAATTTTCCTGAACATGAAAATAACCTGCTCTTCTGTTGAAAACACCCAGAAAAAAAAAAAACAAACACAAAATCAAACTGTTGCTGGACATACTTCAGATTTTTTAGTTTGATGCCTCAGAACATTAGGAGGAAAAATGCATGCCTTCTCCCAGACCTACTTGTCTCTAAGTTATCTATAAACCTATTTTACTCCAGTAGAAGTAAGAGAAGTACCTTCCCAGTCAAGGCTTGTTCAAAGTTTTAGATCAATACTCTAAAAATATATTGACATTTCTCAGATTAATTCCAAGTAATTCCTTGCCTACTAGGGCCAGATCTGTCCTGTCCCCTCATTTCACATCAGCTATATACAATTTCACACTAGCAGTAAGCATTAGCTCGAACTCTGGAACTTGTCATAACTTGAGGTGTCTAAGCAAGTGCATGACCTCACCGGTGTCCTAAGCTCCCGAGGGCCCTGAGATCCTCCGGCCAAGTTCACTCTAGATAACTTGTCTGGCAGTTTCTCCTTACAAATCTTTACATTAAATACAACAAAGGGTTTTGACACCAGAGATATGGATTTCCTCACCAGGGCGGCAACCTAAAAGCTCAATAGAAACAAGGCACATGGGTGGAGGTAGTACAGGTCTGTTCTTCGACTCACAGGTCTGTCTTAGCCTTTGTGTTCTGCTGTGAGAAGCTTTGGAAAACACCCTTTTCAAATGCAGCAGTATCTTACCACTTCTTAAGTAAGGTTAAACTGGAGCTGACACCAACATCAGAAGATGGCAGATGCCCTACTATACTGCAGCAGCGCACAGCCTAATATACACTGCCACTAGGCTTTGTCTTATGAAACTAATTTAATGCCCCAGTAAGGGCAAGGAGTAGGGTATGATGGGCTCAGCTTTATTTTTGGACACTAATGTTCCAAAATTAACTTTTGAATGGGGGGGGAAGGAAAAGAGTCCATGAAAGCAAAATGCTGCTCTTGTGACAAAAAGGAATTTTCCTAAGTGAATGTGCTTTTGAAAAAAATAATTCTCAACAAACAGCAATGCAAAAAAGAAGACAAACTTACATCACTGCAGCATAAAATGCTGCATCACCTACCAAAAGTAGATGGATCCAGGTTCATTCATGTACTTTTGTTTTACACAGAACAAAAATATACAACAGCTACAGCAGAACTGATTATAAAAGAAGTCCTTTGCTTCAGCCAGCTCGATGGATTTCATCTTAGACTCCAGAATACGTAATAGAAACTTACCTTGCATTTCAACATGTTGGCCACTCTCTCTTGCATTGATTGTCCAGCCTTTGGTCTGACAAGTATATAAACCGCTTTCACGTCAGGGCTGGAGCGCAGAAGCTTTTCCATCAGTACTTTGCCCATGAACCCTGTAGCTCCTGTGATAAGAACGTTCTTTCCATTGTAATAAGCTGAGACTGAAGACATGGTGCTGATTTGTTCTGTCCTTCCTTTAACTTCCTGCACAAGGTACCTGGAAAGGTGCAGAAATAAAGCTTTAAGGGCGTCTGAGTTAAGACATCTATCAGTCATTAGGGAGCTATGTCTGAGCTAACCTTTCGTCGTCAGCTGTGGCAGCTCACATTAGTTCAGTCAGTTGCAATTTTAAAGATAATTTTTTAAGAAAAACCTACAAAAATTAAACAAGTTAATCTGAGTAGCTTAAAAAAAAAATAATCAGGCTCAGCTTTATCCTCCATATTATACTACAGCTGCAGCCAGCAGTCACAATTTGGAACACAGCTTGTGCTGTCAAAGGCTGCTAGCAGTAGATGCTCACTGCAGTGCTGAACAGCATTTCTCCTACACTGTGAACTGGCACTCATAAAGATATGCAGCTCTCCATACAACATAAAGAACAGATCTCACAAACACTGCAGGTGCAAATGCTCTGTTTTTCCCTTTAATTCCACTGTGCCAAGATGCTGCATTTCTGGTCAGCCACCACTCAGCAATGTGCTCACTCTTTTCCTGCTGTTTTAGCTTGGAATAAAACCACGAAGAAAGCTCTTCTTCACAGAGGATATAGTGCAATGACATTGCTCTGCAAGACTGCCATGCCATGCTCCTGTGTGTAGGTCATTACCTATTATTGGCTGTTAAGGCAAAAATTCATTCCTCTTAACTCTAAGGAGTATAGATGTCATATGCATTCTCTGGAGAGCTTAGGCTGTCTGAACAGCCCTTTGGAGATCCACTGACTATATAAGGGGGCTGACTAGACAAGGCTCCCACATGAAGTGTCCCAGTTAAGTATTTTAATTAGATACAATGGTTTTCAGCCTACATGTCCCCAGCCATCCCAATCCAAACTCTTAAGCTGATTAAATGACAAGCAAGGCTGGGTTGAATCCAGCCTCAGAATAGGCCCTCTCCCTATTAGACTAACCGAAAGAAAAAAAACTCCTCCTATTTTTGTAGTGCTGCAGATCACAGCATTCACCAACCACTTACATTGCAAGGAAAAGGCTTGTGAAAAACATAAATAACTGTTTTGAAAAGAAGCCTGTTCAATTTGAAACAAAACCAAAGAACAGTGCAATGCTGTTGATCAAGTATTCAAGAATCAGAACAATGATCTTCAGGTACCCCAGAAAAAACTCTTCCTCATGCAGAAGCTTCAGATGCAGTCAGCTATTTCAAGTTTCTCAACATGACATCAGCTAACTGTATGCTAATAAAATGCAAATACATCAAAACAGAAATACAGCATTTGATGCATTTTTGCAGTCTTCCAAGATTCCCTGTTCTCACCAACCCTTTTGCATTTCTGAAATCTACCATTCAGAAACAGTGAAGTGGCCTAACTTAGAGCAAAATTTGCAAGCCTTTGCACACAATCATCTTATGTAATGAGTCCTTGACTTGGACCAACATGAATTAACAACACCGAATAGTCTGAAGTACCATGGGAACCTTGGCTACGTGTCATGGTAGGTTAAATTCCCTTCACTGCATGGGACCACAAGTGAAACATAGCTTGTCCTACATCCTATGCCTTCCTTAGAATGGACTGAGGAATCTTACCCGCAAAAAATGGACCACCATCTATGTGAATCAACAGTAGTACTGCAAATCAACTCTTAAAATGTGTACCGTGACCCTTGCACTACTCAGGAATATACTTAGCTGGACTGGGAGCCCCAGTCACAGCAGTGAAAAGTGATCCACAGTGTGTAAATGTGCTGTCATTATCTGGGTCTACAGCTGGATGCATCTACCCAGACCTGACTTTGCATTCCTATCAATCTGCCAGTTTTCACAATCACTGTAGTGCTGCATGGAAACATTAAATGTGTATTTCTAATGGGCACAGACACATAAACCAGAGACTCACACCCAGCAAAATATTCCCAGTGCTGTGTGGGGCTGCCTTACATAGCATCAAATGAATGAAAATAACCACGTTTTCTGATCCATAATGAATCACCAGGTGTGCCATCCAATTGAGAAAGTGGGTCAAGCAGAGTAACTTCTGAGGGACACTATTTTACAAACTAATAGCTATAAGTATTCTGGCTCAGTATTAGAGTATTAGCCTACTTTAGATATGGCCTAGATCACCATTTAAATGAACGTAGCCTACTAAAAACCTGTTCTTATTAAAGAGATGGCCACTTGGGAAGTTAAACAGACAGGTTAAGCTGTTAGATAATTAACTTAGATAATTAACTTATTTATAACAAAATGTCATATCTCATTCAGGTTTGGAGAAACTGAGTGATAATAGAAGACAGGAATTTGCAGAAAGCAGAGGTTTGTGAAAGAATGTAGAAGTACAAAAGCAGATATTAATTTAGCCAGACGAAGACAGATGTGACAAAAGACTTAAAAAATATGGTACAGCACATTCCCTGCAAAGAAGAAAAATTAATGGAGAAGTCCTTAGTCATTAAAGGTCATACAAAGTCTACTGAACAGAAGGAAAGAAAAAGATGAAATACAAGACTACTTCTAGTCACTGTATACTTGCTTTGGACTCATTCACAGGTTATATCCACCTAAACTCTCCTAATATTCTGCTAGAGAAAAAAGGTATGTTTTTAAAGTACTTTGCACCACAAACTTGTGAGATTACAACAGTGCTTAACAGGAATTACTCTCCTTCCCACACTGCAGTAGTGGAGAACATTTCCAACCTGTATCACTAAACATTAGTGCTTTGCATTAGAGTTGTAGACTACTGCAAAAATAACTGTTAAGATTTCCAAATGTGGACATCAATTTATTATGTTGTTTCATTTTTTCTGTTTTCCTCTTTTTTACTTTTTTTTTTTTTTTTAAATTTTGTTTCTCTGTTTGAGTTATCTGAATGGGACTTCATTTGGTTTGGCCAGATGTTCAATGCCAACTAGAATAGTAACAAAAAAAAACAACCCAATTGTATCTCCTAAACCATTCTGGTATGATGAAAATGGAAACACCAAACACAGGCACAAAAAACTGAACTTCTAAGGCAATCTGCTATTTTTCTTGATTACTGGCTTAACTCTGTAGGTTAAGAAGAAAAGGTAAGAGAAATCACATCCTTTCGATTTTCTACAATGAAGCAATCCAAGTCAGGCGGCATTTAGTTCACAGAGCCAGCATAAATGCTGGATCCAGTACCTCAGGCCTCATCCACAATAAAAAACATGAGGATGGAAATGGTGTTTGTGTCTCCTATGCAGTACATTTTCCCTTTCCTTACTTAACTTTAGAAGAATATACAATAATCTTGTATCCATCTGATGCTATGCTAATCATCAGCAAAGAAAATCTGTGTATTTATTTAATGTGCACAAATTGTTGTTTTGAGACCATGACACAAAAGCTACAACGCTGCAATCTGCTATGTTCAGTCAGATGCCTGTATCTCCACTGTTCAAGCAAATTTCAAGAGGCTTTTATGAGGTTTCAAACTCAGAAGCAAATTCCAGTTTTTATTCAGGAATATGAAGATATTTTCCTTTCTACTTAGCCTTGACCTGACTTCTTTATTTTTCAGAACCATTTTGGGGTTTTATATTTTTAAGAGTGTTATTTTATAACAGAATTTATTCTTCTGTGTTTTAATTGATTTTGCTTGGCTGTTGTAAATAAAGTACTGAAAAAGTTATAAACATTTCAAGGAACCAGAGGATTTCTAGGGTCAAAGGGTGTGATGCGAGTAATGCCTGTTGACTTGACCCCTTAGATGTCTACTTCAAAACACAGAGAACAAGATGCATACCTTTCTGACTTTTTACACTAAGTCAAATGAAAAAAAAAAATTGTTTCCTGCAGAAGGTTATATTTTGCTTTTCCTTTTAAGGAATAAACAGTCAACACAGTGCATGAGCTATTTCCCAGTGAATTAAGCTGCAACAGATTCAGTGCCTGGAAAGAGAAAAATCTTCAAAGTCTGAACCACGGTCAGCAGTTGCAGGTAGTTGACCCTTGCTGAGGCAAGGAAGGAAAAAGACTATTTCAATCCCTGAGGTTCCTGTCTCTTCCAAGAGACTGGAGGTGAGAAAGCCCCTGAATTGTGGAGAGAAGCCCACAAAATGGCTTCTTGAAGCCTAATTCAAGTGAATAATTACAGGCAATTCTGGTGGTTTAGGCACTCATCAGAGCAGGAAGGTAATCACTGATGCCACCTGAATTACTGAGTGCAGCATCTTTGCAGCTCTATCCTCTCTCTGGTGCTGACTCATCTCTAACCAGAGCATGAAAAAAACACCTTTTGGACAGTCAGCCAGGAATCACACTGAGCATCTCTGCAGACACAAGTACACAAGCTGTTTTAAGGGTAAAGCTCTGCTACTGATGCCTGTCACAGTCTCCTCTGGATCAGACAGAAAGGACAATCTACAGTGCTGCATTACAAATGAAGCCATGATTTTGCACAGGGGCATGTGCCAAAGGACAAGCAAAGGGAAAGGTGGGAATCCTACCTATCTAATACTTGCCTCTTGAAAAAGAAACCTCTCATATCCTCACTAGAAAAGGAGAGCTTTCCTCCACAAGAGCAGATACAACTGAGCTAATATTTAACAAAACAACACACTGTCCTCACTTTCACATACTTCAATGATAACAAATCTGCATTCTGATTACAATGATGTAATGCCGAGAGTTAGACTGCTACCGAAGCCACAGAAACGGGAAGAGAAACATGTATCTGAACCTCTCTGACTACCGCTACTGCCGCTGCCCAGAGCAGGTCCATGGTGGCAGGGTGCTAAGAAGAGAAAGCAAAACAGAGCGCAGGCAATGAAGGATGGGGGAACTGGAACAGGTTAATATTTTACTATGGTTTCAGCCACTACTAAGATTTCCATGCTCTACTCAACTAGGACAGTGGCCATTTCAGAAGCTTATCTGTTGAGATATTTGCCTTTTCAACATTTTATATATATATATATATATACACATACTTAGTTATGTGCAAGAACAAAAGACAGTTTACCTGGATATATACATATCTGGATTCACGAATGGCCTCTCTGGCAT